CTCTCCTAGCCTCTCTGACCTTCCCGATGGCGCTAGTTTATTATCTTGGGAGGAAGATCTATATATACTCATCCTGAATGATGGTAGTACCTTTAAAACTCACATCTAGAATTCTAGTTTCAAAAAATAGGAATTTTCAAATTACACTAAAATGTGGTTCATTAGATGTCAATTATATGAATCTTTAATGTTTTAAGAACATCTCCTTTGGATTTGGTGTGGTTTTCCTAAATAATTACAAAATTAAAACAAAACAAAACTAAAATTAAAATGTTCTCTAAAGTTCCCCTGGGTGAGGTCTGAACAGTAGGGTCCATCTGTGTTTCTTCGAACCCAGGGGCTTGGACCAAAATGCTTCCTGTGATTTCTAAACACAAAGAGCTGATCAAGCCTCAGGAGGACTCGGCAAATCCATCTAATCTTTGCCTTCAGATTTCCTAGCACACAACTAAACCCCAGAGGGAGAGAAAAGGTTCCTTGTGACTCACTCCATAATGCCATCTTGACCCATATATTAAGTTAGTTCCCACAGAAATCTGCTGAAGAGCTTACAAAGAGAAATGCAGTGCTCTTTAGGGGCAATTTGCCACCCTCACTGGCAACGCCTCCAGAGGTGCCCACAGCTCCACCCTGCGCCTGCTCTGCCCAGGAGACCCGTGTGGTGGAGGGCTCCTACCATTGCTTTCCAGCCTCAATTGCCAGCCTCTGGGAGGAGAAGCACATGGAGCTCAAGCCTCAATCGTTTTTGCCACCATTTCTAAATGCCTCTAGTAGTCTGTAAGAATTTCAGTGATCAATTAAAAATAAGTAAATGACAAATGGTGTTGCTGAAATCAGAAGTGTCTGATTTTTGAAAAGCCAATGTATTTAAAAAGTAAAGGTCTCAGGGTCACAGGCAAAGGTCACAGCCGCTGGCTCTGGACACTTCCCGCTGGGTGCACCTGCATCCCCTGTCTACACCTCTGGCCTCTCAACTGCTCACCCATGCCCAGGAGAGGAGAGCAGAATGACCACATCAACCACTCAGTGGGACAGAATGAGATCTGGGGGACAAAACACTTGGTGCAACGTGAGCACTCTTCCAAAGCAGAATACTATGACACCACTAAACGAGCTCCTCTGTGAGGACTGAGCAGGGGATTTTTGTCTGAGCATGGAAATTATTTCTAACACTTCTGCAGGAAGCAAATGAAGGAGAGCACATGAGCTTGCTAGCTATATGTGTATGTCTCCGGCCAGCTTTTCTCTCCGGCTGGAAACATACTACACTGCACTTCATACAACTGCATTCCTACAGCACCGTCATTCTGAGGTACTTCTAAAATGCATGCTTTAATTATATTATTGGACCACTCAGACTACCAGAGAAATACTATTTTAGATTTTAGAAAATGGAGTATCTTATTTATCATCAATTAGGAGAAAGTAAAATAAGAATGCATTATATATTACCAAGTTTTCTCTCTGTGATTTCAATAGAGTAACTTCTCATTCAACAACATTTTAAATGAAAGGAATATCTAAGCATTATTTTAAAAATGTTTAAAGCGTTTTTGTACACATCTTAAGTATCAGATCTATCAAGATAGCTCAGTGGTCTGAAGCGCCTGCTTGGGCGAGCTTAGGCAGGCACAGGGGACCGCAGTTTGATCCCCAGCACCACATGCTGCACCAGCCACAGCCTGAGAGTGGGTTGAGCTGGCCAAAAGGGAACAGAAAAAGAAGCACATCTATGATAAAAATCTTACCAAATAATTATATGGTAACACCTAAATTATAATACTTAAAATAAGGCATAGATTAAGGAAAGTGCTTGATCACTGTGTCACTTACACTTAGTGCTACATTTTAGAGAAGAAAATGAGTAGCAGGAAGAAATTAACTGAGCTTATTTGATGAGAAAAGATGAAATGTGGAATTCAAAGTAATTTTAGAAAGTAAGACTAGCAGGAAAAGAGACATTTTCTTCTTCTGATAATGTATTAACTGAGCTGAGAAAACATATTCAGAATTATACTAATGTTTAAGCTAATTATTCCCCTAATTACAATTAATGGGAAATGCAGGACCCATTGCAGTGGTCTCCCCGAGCAGCCAGGTACAGCTACTAAAGCTACATATCTGATTTATTGGAAGAAGAGAAAAATAAATGCTTTTAATTTCCTGAGAATAAAGAGAAAACAAGAGGAGAGTACTGGCTTGATTTTAATTTTTGTGGCAAATCCAGAATAATAAAATTGAGTACTTTAATCCAGAAGGCATGGAAAAGGACTAACAGTGCTATCCTTTTTAAAAAAACATCTGTTCTAAAAGACATGTTTTTGAATTACACTTTATGATAACTTCTTGGTCAGCCTGTTTAGGTTCCCATCCCTGGCGGCAGCATTCTTTCTTGGAGAAAATTCCAATTGTTGGGGGGAGGTAGTGGGCAGAAACAGGCTTGCTTTGCATTTCGACTATTGCTTATGGAATCCAAGCCATCTGCTTCTAAAAGCAAGGGATCTTGGGACTTATCTTGCTCTGTCCAGGAGCCTGAGAAGATGGTCAGGCAGATAGATGGGAGCAGGAGAAGGAGAGGTAGCACGGCCCCGCACGGCCCAAGCCCCGGTTTGTATTTAGGCTTGCAGGGCAACACTGACGCACTGCCTTGGCCACGCTTTTCTTCTACTTGTGTTTCCAGCACGGAAGCCTGCTGTACTTGCACTCGCTTGTGTCATCACAGCTGTCGCTAGCAAGGGGAACACTAACTATACTGTGGGGAATCAATGAGAAAACAAAAACGGACACACTTTATGCTGCAGCATATAACAATGGCGCAGAACCCAGTAGTTTATGAATGAAATAAAGATACTTTATTTATTACACAGGCACTTGGAGATTCACATGCCCAACACATCTGATACACTTAACAGCTATGGAGACACGAATGGAACACGGCTGCGTGGAGGTTGAGGGAGACTTCCACCATGGGAAGAGGAGTGAGTGCATTAACAATTTTGCCTTTACTTTTCTCTAAGAATTTTCAGAAGTTACACTTCAAATCATATGCAACAAAAAAACTGATCTACATTCCAACTGGTAGGCTAAGTTGAGTTGTGGCAATTGAAACTTATCACAATGCAATATATTTATAGTCATGCTTGAACAGATTAGGTTAGTAGCATGCATTCCATTCTGCAATATGAATACTGTTAATCTATTTCCCAACAAAAGTCAAAAGATGCCCAGTGCATAGAAAAATACAAATCACTGTAGTCAATTGATTACGAGACTGATCTTGGAACTACAAGTTGACAGTGACGTCCTAAGATGCCATGCCCACAAAAGCACATTAAAAAGTGGATGGACATTTTTATCAGACAATCTCTAAAAATTAAAGATGAGAGCTTAAACTGGGGGTGTTCTTGCTGCGTGCCCCGAGCACAGCCTCTGCTCACCTCCTTCTGGCTGGGCTGGTCCATTGGACATCACCTTCCTGGGGGCTGGCTGGCTTTGGTCTTGGTTACCATTGGCTGGTGGAGGCAGATTGTCAGACTGAGTTCTCTGAGTGGGAAGGGCTCCTGCTACGCTGTGTCTGTGCTGCGTCCTGGCATGATTAGACTGAGCGCTCTTATGTGGTGCTGTTGCAGTGTGGGTGAGATGGAAACCCGGAGTGTGGACCCTCGGACAGAGCCAGCCTCATGGGGTGCATGCAAACAGAAGTGTCCTTCCGCTTACTTAGGTTGTGCTGTCAAATGCCGAGAGGACACCACATGCACAGCGCTAAAGGAGCTTAAAACTGGCTGTTTCTTGAAAAAGTTGATGGGGCGTCAGGGCGCCATCGGGGGCGGCACTCTCTCCATGGCCTGGCCAGGGCCTGAGGTGGGTGGCAGTGCATGTAAGTGTCCGCACTCGGGCTGCCGCACAATTATTACTGGTTGACTCCACTGCTCACAAATGAATTAAGCGGCTCATGGCTGGACTGCATACTTTGATGGCGTGATAACTACTAGACAAAGCGTATCTCAAATTTTAAAGGATTTCAATGGCTAGGAAAAAATAAACTCTAAATTCTCTGTGACTATACACACAGCGTGGTCCAGGAGAATGGACCTAACTGTGCTCCTCAGTGCAGCGGCACTGTCTTGCCACACAGACCTATTCATAGATTTACAATCTGCATTTTGGAAGAAGACAGTGGTGCATCAGTTCATGAACCCTTTCTTCTGTGAATAATTTGGTTTGCAAACCAACACCTTTGGCGAAATCTTGTTTTTGTGTGTAAACTCTACATTGCAAACAGGAGTGCAGTAATCTTTCCCACACAAATGCAAATGTGGCTGTCTTTTCCAAAATTGTGGAAAAAATTAAGTTCATGAACCAAGTACCATTGTACATAAAATACCATGTTCTCCATGGCGCTCTCAAAAGGCAGGGAGGTTTCGCATGTGAGGCGACAGCCTCGCACTCACAGTCTCTCATGAGGTCTTAAGCATCAGCTTGAAATAGTTTCACCTCCACGTTGGAGGACCTGAGTGCCAGTCTGCTAACTGCTCTACTTAAAATTTTTTGAATGATTTCAGGTGTGAAGACCTCAGTGCTAATCTGATCCCAATCCGTGTGTGTGTGTGTGTGTGTGTGTGTGTGTGTGTGTGCTTTATGGGTGCCATGCCTGGAGAATTGGCAGCCCCTTGTGCTTATAATTTTTGTATTCTGGAGGGTGCTTAACTGCACACAAAAGGACGCACAACATTGCTTGGCCTGTGAACATCAGACAGGGCTCATGGGTAAGGTGAGCCAGGTTGAATGCAGGGTGGACACAAAGGAGAAACAGCCAGTTTTATTGCAGTCTATGTGAATTAAAGAAACAAACCAAAATGAAAAATGAAAACAAGGAAGAGCCCGTGTATGATCGCCACTCTCTCACACAGACAGATGGGACAGAGGACAGGGGAGGGTGCAGGACAGAAAGCGAGGCGGGCGGCGGGGACAGGGCCATGCCGGTCACTTGCGTCTTTTACTTGTCGGGAGGCGCTGGTGCACTGCGGCCTCGGCGGCGGCGATGGCTGCGCCTGCGTCCTCTAGATGCGCCTGGGTGACGCTGCCGCGGCTCTGGCTGCGTGATGGGCCGTGGGAGCGCAGGTGGCCTTCGGAGGATGACTTGGAGCTGCCGGGGCTGCTGTGCGACTTCTCCATGGTGGGAACCTGCATGTCCGCTGCAAAAGGGTGGGACAGAGTTAGGGCTCGCAGCACTGCAGGCCCTGCCCACTGCCAAGGCCCGCAGGCCAGCCTGGTCCCGTACAGTGAAGCGGGGCCCCGACCAGGGCTGATCTGAGGCCAGGTCACCCACAGTCTGTCTCAGCCCCGCAGAGCCCGCGAGGGGCAGGTCACCAGGGCAGATTCGGGGACTGTGCCCACCACGTGTCCAAGGCTTGCAAGACCACAGGGGCCTCCGCAGACCCACAGCACCTTGCCGCAGGGCCGCAGCTTGCCGGCCCCCTGAGCACTGGCGCGCGTGCCCACACGCTTCTCACCCCTCAGTTGGTGCGTGCTCTCGGAGGAGCATCGGAACCAAGGACCCAAGGCTCAAGCCTGCATGAGAGCTGCCCTCCTGCGTGCCGCAGTTCAGGCCACCCAGGGAGGAGGGGCGCTTTCCTCTTAATACCCGCTGTGTCAGAGGTTACTGCTTTGCTGTACGTGTAAGAAAAAGAGTTCCCTCTGGTGGGCCCTGTCCTCTGCCAAACTCAAGGTCTGACATTAAATCAAACAGAAAAATTAAAGAATCAGGTAATGAGGAGGAAACACCTAAGCCAAAATGATGATTGCGGCATTGTGCTAGAAGAGATGTTTCTGTTTTCTTTATGAAACACACTACTACAATTTCTAAAATCATATTGTCAAAAAACCTGAGAAATAAAAAGATCCGATAATCTCTTTCACTTCATGCGTTAAAAACCCAAGTGAATTGGGGATGCAGGCCTACAACGCAGCAGGGGCACATCTGCAGCCAGTCTGTGTGCGAGGGTGTGGACTTCTTCTAAGGACTCGGATCCTCACATACAGCCAGTGGAGGCACGCACATACAGACAGACACCTGACGGATGGACGGGTGGACAGACCGACCGACCAACCGACCCAAAGCGCTCTCGAGCTGCAGCGTGTCCTACCCTTGGATGGGTCAGGGAAGATGCCATGGCTTCTGCTTTTGATGACAGATGGCTTTGGGGACGCCTGGCTGCCCTGGCTGGAGTGTGGCTTGCTGTGGTCGATGCTCTCAGTCTGCTCCTTGAGTGGATACCACCTCGGGGTGTTATCCAGGTGGGATGTGCTCGACAGGTCGATCAGCACCTGGAAGAAGGCGCACCAACAGCAGAACTAGTGAGCGCAGCCGGCCGTCGTCACCTTTTCCTGTGATCTAAAGTTTACTTCAGGCTGTAAACCAAAGGGTTCAGTAGGACCTCCAGGAGGAGGATGCTGCCTTCCTCAATTTCCTTCTGTCTTTTTTTCTCATTTCTCTTCACTCATGACACCAGGAGCCTTCCTTGTCTTGTGTGTACTGGATGCGTAGTAAAGGTGAGATTAAAGTGGAGTGCACAGTCTTTAGCTATTCCCTAAATTGTTTGGAAATCATGTAATTTGGCAGGGTCACAAGGAAACTTTTTCTGTTATCTGAATCTCCAATATTGGCTACCAACTTTTAAACGTGTATGACTTTAGTTAAACCTTTAGGACAAAAGGAAAAAAGTGAAAGAATGAGTAACTGGCAAATAGTAACGTATTTCTCCAGTTTAACACTGCACTAACACTGGGAACAGAGCCAGCTAAGAGCTGCCAGTGGGAAAGCGCTGTGCCCGGGCTCTTCCCTCCCTTGTGGAACACAAACAGTGGTGCATTTTGCAGTTGCGGGGATCAGGCTATTTAGTCATAACTAATAATGTAAGATGTTGTATCAGGCCTTCTGGAGCGCAGCAAGGAAGCTGGAATTGCATTTTTAAAACTCCAGCTCATTTTATACAATAAATGTGTTACCTCAAAACTCTTTTAGACTCTCAGCAGGCTTATATATCTTCCTAGTGAGACGATTATACTTAATCCTGCAAATTAGCTATAAAGTGTACCAAGTGGTACAGAGAGGACCACTGCTCCAGCCGCTGTCCTTCTACTCTGAGTGGCTCTGGAAGGAAACTCCATCTCTGAACGGGTGCATTGAGAGATGGCCCTTGCGAGTGCATCAGAAGCACGCTTTGTACTACACGTCCACTGAGGGGCGACAGGGGTAGCACACACAGAAAAGGCAATCAGAAGCTCACCTCCCCGAGGAAGTCGTTGGAGGAAAATCTGTCATAATCCCACACAGTCACCTCCAGGGTTTTCTTTTTGAGCTGCAGTTCAAATAAAACTGGCATTACCCCATTTTTCTATCATAATTTTTCATCACATTAATATGTTTGACTAATTTTTACCCTGAATCTTTTCCACTGGGGTAAAACATATCTGATATTTTTATTTAAAGCTATGTAGATTCATAAAATACTGTGTAGGAAATGTCAATGTGTATTTTTCAGCCCATTCTAGTGTATAATCACAGCCCTTCATTGCTTTCCAAACAGCACAGTAACACTCATTTTGTATTTCTTTATTTTTCTCCACCTACCAAGTTCTAAAAATAGAAAACAGACTCTATAAATAATGTTCTAGTATAAAAAACCCATGGCTAACACAATATCTACAATTACTTAAAGTATTTAGAGTAGAGCTTTTATTTGGGTGACGTCCAAAAGATAGTATCGTCAGCTTATTCTTGCAATTTATTTCATCAAGGATGCAGATTACAATTGATACCCAGCTTCAAATATTTCATCAAATTAATCTTTAGAGTACAAAACAAAAGCCTCACTTTGAAGGACCACTAATTGTTTCATGGGGTTGATCTTTTCCTGCATTATTTGCGTTATCTCTGAATTTAATTTTATAAACTATCAGTCATTTGTGCCCCTTGCAAGGTGTTATCAGAGGTGGATTCTCAAAGGTTCATGGATGAAATGTGCCCAGAGTCACGGGTGCTGGTGATCATCTCTGGTGCCGTCACCATGTGCCCTTCTCTGGAGGCCGCAGTGTAGAGAAGAGACGGGCTTCTAAAGCTCTGCTTGGTGCAATGATTCTTTTCTAAGCACTGACTTTTCTGTTTTCTTTATAGTACTTATGAAAGTCAAAATATAACCATCTAAAAATATTTTCCTCTAGAGTAAAAATTATAGCACAGGTTGCTGAAATGTTTAAATTGAAATAAGCACTGGCAAATGTTCCACTAGTCTTATTTTATATATATATATATATATATATATATATATATATATTTTGCTTGCTTAGTCACAATGTTCACAAATACTTTTGTCCCATATTTGAGGTGCATGCCATTCCTTTTTTGGGCTACATTTCTTGTGTGTGTTTATCTGGAAAAAATGGAGATGGGTCCTGATCTTGGAATAATTTGCTGTCCTTATCCTCATGCTAGGCTGAGTCTGTCTCCCAGGCAGTGGCCACTACATACCTGTTCCATGGAAATACTTTTATAAATGACCGTTTGATTCCACTCAGGATTAAGGCTTTTCTGGACATATTTAGTCCTTCTCTTGTGCTCAGCACTGAATTGGAAGAGAAGAGAGGGTTATTTCGGTCATTCCCGGATGGCAGTCAGGGACACAGTGACATCACGAGACACTTCACCTCAGGTCACAGCTGCAGTCATTTCACAGCCTCACACCAAGAGTCCCTTTGTAAGCTGAACAGATGAGGTGATTAAAAATAATGCTGGAAGCCTTTTGTTTGCGCCAATGAGTGTCTTTAAAGAAATCTCTGTAGATGTTGCACCTATGCTGTAACTTTAGAAGTCTTACTCTTTCTGAATGTAAGAGGCAACTACAAGGACTCACTGACGACCTCAATATCTTCTCACTCCACAAATGGAATTTGAGCTTTAACGTTCCACTAGGCCTCCAGCTAATCACGTCAGCAAGACTATGCTGTCACTCTCTGCACTTTAAGTGAGGCGCTGCACTCATGGAGAGAACGACGAGGGCCTGCTTCAAGTGCAGTCTCATGAACATTCATCTAATATTAAAGGCTATTCTGACACTCTGGCAAAGTGCAGCAGGCAATGTAGCCATGAAACAATTTAATTAAATAGAAATGATTGGTTCACACCAATTATTTATTGTAATTTATGAAAAAGTAAAATCTGTCCTAATTCATTATAACTTGGGGCTCAGCTAATTCCTGACTCTTCCACTCACTCTGAAAAGATAGAATCAAATGTTCTCTAAGCTTAAAAATTATATTAAAGCCCTACCCCAGCTGAGTGCAGTACAACACCTACAGCTGTCCCTCGCCAGGGGCTGCGTGGGGCAAGAAATTGCTGCAGTCTGCACTTAACATGTGGTGCACACACAACAGAGGCCTGGAAAAACCTTCACTGCCCCACTGCCCTGCTGAAATTTGGCGTAGGCTCACACGTCGGCTCCTTAATGATGCTATCTCTGGTGGGAGTGCGCAGCTTGGAAGCCAACCTGCTCTGAGGTCAGGGACATTATAATCTGGCACTGGATGTCACTCTATGCCAAGATATAGTGACCAGACTAATTTGCTATGTGCCCGGTCACAAGCACTGCCCCATCGTAGAGGCCTAGGGTTGATCCCCAGCTGCTGCTGGGGCCAAGCATTCGAATACAGCTGCTGAGAACCAGCATCAGCGCATCTCCCACTTTCAGAAATGGTCAGCCAGTCGAGGACTGGTCTTTTCTCTGGTTTTATTGTTTCACCAGCCACGTGTGAAGGCAGTTAATTCTCAATAGACTGCCAATGTGATCAGGTGTTCTGGCACAGGGAGGTCAGGCAGTCCACACTGTGTCTTCTCTCTCTCTCTCTCTCTCTCTCTCTCTCTCTCTCTCTCTCTCTCTCACACACACACACACACACACACTCACATGCACAGAACTCAGAGAGTCTCACTTTGAATTAATCTGGGCCAAGGCTTGAGCACTGGGATGTTGGAGGCTCCTTGCATAGTCACTGTGAAGCTAACATCTAGACCCCCTGAGCTGCTGCCCGTAACTTCCCCCACATCATCCATTGCGAGCTGAGTAAAATTTAAAAATTAAAGCAGTATTCCTCTCACTTCAAGCCAATTCAACTGAATGCATAGGAGTAACAGCACAGATGATGACTTAAAGAAACAGGACTCCCTGTGGGCTGCAGACAGAAAGTGTGTTCGTGCGCACACTTTAGGGAACTGGCAGCACCTCCTGCAATCCAAGTCACGTCCAGTACCTGCTACTCAGGCCCCTTCTCTAAACTCCTCCACCTGGGCACGAGAAACTTATTCAAGAACATGCGTTGAAACATTGGTTTTAAATGGAAAATAGTAAATCAATAATAGTACGATATAATGCTATGTATATATTTAATCAATGAAATAGTAAGTGGTAGTTAAAATGAACTAAATAAATCTCCATATGCCAAAATAGAGAAATTGTGAGAAAAATTTTTATTGAAATAATGTAGAAAAACGTAGTTATGTATGGTATCAGGGTATAAAGTTAGAAATCTATGAAATAATAATTTAGTATAAATTGTTTAGCATACATTGTATATGTCAACTACATTAATATGACAAAAAAGGAAGCATAGATATTGAATTCAATTTAGTGGTTATCTGAGGTGACCAGTGTTGTGATCTGGGAAGGTAGATCAATGAAGGGACCTTAGAGCTACCTGTAAAATATATTTTATTAAATAGGTAACTGAAACAAATAAAATAAAATATTATGGCTCAATAAAACTTGATAGTAAGGGCAACTATTTTTGTGGCGGGGAGGGACCAGGGATTGAACTCAGGCCCTTGTGCTTGCCAGGGAAGCACTTATTCCACTGAACCATCTCCCCAGCCCCTAGTAAGGGCAACTTTTGTTTCATTTTGCATTACTGATGAATAAACTCAGGGCGTTTTCCCACTGAGATGCATCCCATCTTTAATTTTTAAGTTTGTGATATTGAGACAGAACCTATTTCAATTATATCATGGGACTTGAACTTGTGATTTTCCTGCCTGTTGTTATGAGCTTTAAAGTTTTGATTGCTTTGGACTTAGTTGTCAAAGTAAAGAGAACTCAGGAAAATCACAGTAAGGATCTGATCACAACGCGTGAGCCGAAGTCTAAAGAGGAATGTGTCTGCATAATTTGAAGAGGTGAGATCAACGCCAAGTGCACCTCGCGTGCTTTCAACTAGAATTCTGGGCAGTAACATTGCCTGCAACTCTGGAATGTTTTCAAAAGGATTGATAAGTCACCATCTTTCCTTATTTCATAAATATGAATAATTATTAAATTTTTCATATGTACATTTTGTAATTTTCTCATTTTTATAGACAGGAAAAATTATTGAACACCTATTCTCTTCCAGAATCTGTGTATGTCTATCAGTGTATGACTACAAGTGCCTTATTTAATATTACTAATACATGATCATATAACAGATTTATGTATAAGAAACACTTCTTTTAAAAATTAATAATAATTAACATGGAATTGCCTATTTTGTGGCCGGCTCAGCCCATCCTGGGACCGAGGCTGGCACTGTATGTGGTACCGGAGATCAAACCACAGTCCCTGCGCACTTAGCCTGAGCTCGCCTAAGCAGGTGTTTTAAACCACAGAGCTATCTCGCCAGCTCCAACGTGGAATCACTTTCGCCAAGTTAGGATTCTAAATGCTCTTCATTTTTTAGCTCACTTAATTCTCCTCCACTCAGCCCCGGCATGCAGGTTTCCTTAGGATCCTTCCAGCAGGTACCAGAATTCCAGGTTCAGGCCTGAGGTGCTAGGCTGCTGCAGATGCTGGTCTGTGAGCCCAGGATTCACGCAGGGAGCTGGGGTCACTCTCAAACATGTGGACTTACCTAATTAGGACTACTGTGTCACTCGTACACCTATCTCCTTAATTGTAGGCTTTATTAGAATTTAAAGTTCTCTACCTCAATTCAGATATGTAACTTACATCATGTAATTATACAAATCATATGAGCTGTTCATGCACATACCCACACATGCAAAAGATCAGACTAATTTTAGACTTGCTTAGGGAAATGCTAAGTGAATATGGGGACTAAGTGCACATACTTAATGTCAGTATCCGCAGGCACAAGCTCAGGCATTTATTTTGCTGGTGGCTCGGTGTTAGCTGTGGCTTGGCTGCCTCTTCTCTCCAGACAGAGAGGCTCTGGCTGCAGGATGGAGAGGGGATTGTCTGCCTCCGCCCAGGATGGCTCCTTAAGGCTCCTGGCCCTCCTCATCGCGTTTGCACACCTGCTTGCTGGGGCACAGAGCTGCCCTTACTCGGCCATCCCTTGACAACACTGTGTGGGGCCATGGCATGGAGTCCAGAGCAGCCTCCCAAGGGCTGGGTGGCCTCATTCCAGTGCTGAGAACGTGCGTGTCCTCAAAGCGCTCTGTCTTGGGCTGTGCACAGGGAAGGTGGTGGCTCTGAGGCGGATCCTGGCACAGGAGCCCACGACAGACGCTAACTGAAAGGTGAAGTCTGTCTCCTGTCTGGTTTTTGTCTGGGAAACACCATGCAGTGCACCCTGAATGGGAAGAGTGTGGCAACAGTGTCACCTCAAAACAGCAAGGCCACAGTGTGGTGTGCGGATACCACGGAGAGGCTCATGTGGGAGAGGAAGAAGTTGGCACGATGACCGGGTATGGCCCGAGGTGTACGGACACTCAATTTCTCCTTTCACTTTCCTTTTTCTTTTATTTTTATTAGTTATTTTAGTCATAGGTAGATGTGCTTTCAATACAGTCATAAAAATACTATAATTTTTATTTTTAATTTCTTTATTTTTAATGTATTTTTGGTTTTTTTGTGCAGGGTCTTACTACACAGCTGGGACTCATAGTGATCCTCCTGTGTTCAGCCTCCCCAGCACAGGCGTGAACCACCATGCACGGACTTGGTGGCTGGGTCAGCACGCCCAGGCCCGGGGCCAGCGTATCATGTGGTGCAGGGGATCAAACCCTGGTCCCTATGCTTGCCTAAGCAGGTGCTTAGTCTGCTGAGCTATCTTGCCAGCCTCTATTTTTAATTTCAAAGGCAATACTGAGAAAAAAAAATATGATGAATAATTTGTATTTACTTTCATAGAAATATCTAAAACATTAAAATTATTTGCTTTTTATAGATTTTCAAAACAATAGCAAATTAACAATGGTTGTTATATTACCTGGTTTGTCTTTGTTTCTGCGATTTGTTTTTCCTCTCTTCAAAATAAAATAAAATAAAAAATTTAAAAAAATTATTCACTTTTAAAATCTGACTAGGTTTTTCCGTATTGAACTCTTTTCACATGGGGCGGGAGAGCTCAGCTCGTTCGCCAGCACCATTCTCCTGCACTGCATGCGCCTTCTGTCCTCCACGTCCCCTTAGCCTGGCCGTTTGCAGAGCAGAGCTCATGGCTCCCTTGCTGCCCCCTCGCTGCCCCCCCCCACAGCTTCTGCACAGTGCTTGTGCTAAGTATACCTGTGTTGAATAGATCCACTTCTAAGAAGCTTATGCTTCTTTGTTTTTCTTCAATATCTACTGAGATGAATTTGGGCTGTCATCTTTCAAATGCACAGCACACCCATCCTAGCGGACATAATTTCATATGCTGACAAGGGTATACAGAGTAACAGTGGCCAGTACGTGGTTTTCCAAGGACGTGCTAGCTAAAGCCAGGTGCAGTCAAGCAAAGTCTCATTAAAGGAAAAGTCTGTCCTTTGCCCAAGGGTGTGAGGAGAGAGCCTTAGAAAGGGCCTCCAGGGACCCACAGGCCTCCTTCCTAATTCTGCAGGGCCGCGTGTGCAGCTCAGGCCCTGCTGTGCTCTTTCCTTGCCTTCTTCTCAGCTTGTCCCGCCTGACACCACCCCCCCTTAGCACTCATGAGGACACTGATGAAAGGGCAGGGAGAGGAAGGAGAAGGGACGAGGAAGCAGGGCCCATTACTTAACAGCACTCTTACTGGTCTGCCTCCAGGGTATTACCTTTTGTTATTAAAGAAAAGTTGTCTTATTTTCTTTACTCTGTGGACAACTAATTTGATCTAACTGAGTAGCCCACCCATACTATTTCTCAGTCTTACAGTGATAACTGATCAATGACTACATTAAAAACTATACATGTCACTAGCAACAACAGCAAGTGGCATTTACTAAACGCTTATTAGATGCCAGACAGTATGCTTATCTCTTTTAGCTTATGGACCCCTGCGCTTCACACACACATACACACACACAAACACACACACACACACACACACACAGAGCCTGTGAAGATACTATTATTATTACTAGTTGGAAGGAATAAAAACTAAATTTAAGCCAATCTCTTATCTTGAAAGTGGTAGGCTGAACTGAAACCTAAATTCTTAAGAACTTTATCCATCAGCTCCCACAGGCTAAAACATTTTCATCCCTTGTCATTCCCTTCCACGTTAATAATTCCCAAAGTTCATGTGAAAGTAACTGCAAAGGAGAGAATGACTTCTAGATCTTCCATGTTGTAGTTCAAAGCATCCCAGGTTATTGAATCATTATGTACATTTATACAGTACACTCTCCTCTAAGTATTAGACACACACAGACAGTATTCTGAAAATATTCCCTTAGCTTCTCTAGAGAAAAGTCAGGGAAATTCCAAATAATGTCACTCTAAAACCAGAGTTATCTCGCTGAAATGCACTAATTTTGTATATGGGTTCCAGACACCTGGACTGTGTCCTGTGAAGAAGAGACCATTGCCACGGCAAAATTCACTGCCACAGTCGCACAGCTGCAAAGAAGTGAGAAGATCCTAGATGCTGGAAGGGCTGCGGCTACTACTCCTTTAATTTGCAATATGTAAATATTTATGCCTTTAAAATTCAAAGCATCCTCCTGTGAGCAACAGATTGTCAGGATTAATAAAGACATCATATTCAAATATCACAGACAAAAAAAAATGCTGGAAGATTAATAATCAGAGTGGAATTAAAATTCTCATCACCCAATTGCTGGATGGTACATAATTAGCCTTCCCCACTAAAGGACACATTTAATGTACAGCACACCAAGAATTGTACAAAATAAAGCTGTGGCTGTGTGCGGAGCAATAATCGAAGTCGGCAATGTGACACGTTATGCCTCAAGTGGCAGAACACAGTTTCCTGGTGCTGGCAAGAAGGAGCCGCTCCTCTGTCCTGGCCAGTGTGTGGCGCCACACACACAGAATCCCACACTGCCTGCCCACGAATCTGTGGTGCAAAAGGCACCCTGCACACAGATGGTGCAAGATTAGATGCAAGCAAGGCGAAAAGGCAGAAATTTATTGTGTTTAAGGTGAAGTACATAGCTACTGCTGAACATCTAGATCAGTTAATCCCACTGAAGAAGTGGCTCTAGACACTTTTATTTGCAATAAAGGAGCCAGGAGAACTCAATCCATGATTTTCAGTTGGGAAGCAAAGTCAGATTTAGTGGGCAGGTCACAAATGAAAATGTGAGTAATGTCTCATTCAGGGTGACAAGTCCTTATTCATATTTTCTGTGTTTTAATATTTTCTATTTTTCTGTATCCTATTGTGCACACCTCCTAAAGTCATTTAAAAATGTGGTCAGAAGGATTTGCTAGAGGCCTAATTCAACAGACATTAAATTGCAGAAAAAGAAGTTCTAGGCCAGGGTGAGTTGCAGACCAACATACATAAATACACAAAAAAGTACAACTAAGCATAACTGTAGCTTGACACTGAAGAAGAATCCACTGTACCTTGCATTCTGGACCACCATGACTTGACTGCATTGGTTCCAAGAGGGGGAGGGTACGACAGGAGGGTAGAAGAGACAGGAAGAAAAGTGTTAGGAATGGCAACCCGGAAGGAATGCAGGGATATTAATTAGTGGGGCTCTTCCATAATATATAAGTGACATGAGACAGAAGGCAATTGTTGAGCTATTGAAAATGATACCTCAGAAGTACAACCGATCCCAGAGCTTCGGCTACTGTACCAGCTAAGGACAATTTAATGAACGATCTATGCCTGTGACATCAGCAGCCCATGACCCGCTTTACACTAAAACCACACATTGGGGATGTTCTGCATGAGGGTTTGTCCTTATGAGGACAGTGTTAGGTGGGAAATGCTCTCTGTCTGTCGCCGCCGTACCCTTACCTTTCCATACTACTTATCACAGAGAGACTAACACTCACGTCACCTGCACATCCTTCCTGATTATGGAGATTTGCAACACTAATTAAAGCATATCTGGTAGAGAGAAGTTATTTACTCTTGTGTAGTGTAAAAGTTGATACTGCAGCACATTGTTAGAGAAGACAGAAAATAAGTGGGCGGGCTTTCAGTCACTCATTAAAAATGCTAGTTAAAGACCAAGCCTTCGCAATAATTTCCTAATATTGTCACTAAATAACACTAAAAATCAAATGGAAAAAATCAAAATCTGAATGAAATTTGGTATGTTATTTTTGTTACATGCACTTTAAAAAATGTAGCCAAGTTACATAGGCAAGTACATAAATGTATAAATTAGCATGAAAGAAAGGAGGATCTCTTCTCTTGGATCATGCGGCAAGAGGGTAAACTATATAAAATTAGTAAGAGTTTCAAAAACGTTTAGTGAATTAAAATTAGAGCTGCCATACAATTCTCAGCTTCTAAATGGAGGGATGGAATGAAAGCCTGTGTACTGAACTTGACCTAGTACCTAGCACTCTGCAAATGGTCTTCTAAATATTATCTCCTTCATGTGTTCTGAAAAACGGTAACTTCTGGCCTCCTCCCCAGTGGCCTCATACGGACAGCATGAAGCTGAAAACTCAGAGAAACGGGTGATCTGCCCGCAGGAAGAGAAGCAGCATGGCACAGAGGCAAAGGCCGCAGGCGACTCCCATTGGGATCCTATTCAAGCCAACCGACCACAGCCAGGGGACAGATTCTGTGAGACTCTAATATTGTTACACGTGTTGGGATTCGCTTTATAGCCAGGAAGATCGTTTTAGTGAATACTCCGTGCATACTTACACAGAATACAAGGTTTGCTGTTGATGGGCAGCATGTTCTAGAAATAGCAATTATATCCTCAAACCATCTAGGAAAATACTATGGAACAACTAGGAAAATTAAAACACTATATGTAAAATTAAAAATTATTGTGGTTATACATATTACAAGTATTTAAAAATGTTCATTCTTTTAGAATACCATACACTAAATAATTACATAAAGGTCACAATAGCTGGGATCTACCCCAGATAGCACAGGAGTGGGGTGGCGAGGGCAAAATTGAAAGAGATCTGGCTGGTAAGTGCTAAAGACAAGAGAGGAGGGAGGCTGCGTGGTGCCTCTTTCTATACTTCTCTCTGCTTCTGTATCACAGCTGAGCTTTCCAGGGAAAACGTAATATTTAAACATCACTTCCCAAGCTAAAGGAAAAGTAAATGAGAAATAACCCTAGTCTCCCCAGACGACCAACCCGGCTGCTCCGCAGTGCGCCTCATTTGGGGTCGCACTGGGTCTCGACGACGCGCTGACTTGCCTCCCGCCAGCTGCCAGATGAAGAGCAAGCGTGGTCAGCCACGTCACTGCGCTGCAGCCCTCACTGAGTGCTGATTTACATACCAGAGCGTGGCGTCAGCATTCATTACATGAAAATTAAATATCTCCAAAGAGCACTCATCTGCTATTATTCCCTTTGTTTGGTGGTGAGGACGAACCCAAGGCTACACACATGCTAGGCATATGCTGTGTTATGGAGCCACGCCTGGCCCTGCCACCTATCAGCCTTTTATGTACCACCTAGGAGGGTCAGAGGAATGGTTCTCATTCAGGTAGGGCAACTGATTCTTCCAGTAGCATTCCGATTCAGCATTGTGCTTTAAGCCTTGGTTTGGACATACACATATAAATATGGGTACTTCTCAAGGCAATTTAATGAAGTTCAAGTATATCAGAAAACATGCACATCCTACATAACTAGACAACTAGAATTTGATTTTCCAACTCAATTTGAGACTGAGAGCAAATTCTTTGAATCTGCCACAGCCAGCTCCCTGGCAGCTTCCTTCCTGGGTCACGGTAAGTAGGCACCACAAGAGTGACTTCTCTTCGGGGCTGGTGCTACTACGTCTCTGCTCTTCCAGGACCCTGTAGGGCTTAATCACACATTTTCAGTTCCACTTTATCTACTCATACAGAAGTGAAGACAGCATGTGGTGAAGGCTGAGGGAAACGCACTGCATGCAGCAGAAGCTGGCTTGAACTTGCAGACCTCGACACCGTCACCCTGGCAAACGTGCACTCCCTCTGTCCTTACCCTCGCCCGGGAAGAAGGTAGACCTTCACGAAAGGATCCGAGTAACCATTGTTGTCTCGAGGCACAAGGTTTCTGGCTTGGAGAACGTGAATTATGAGATTTCCAAGGTCATAGTTGATTTGAAGCTTTAGGGGACAGCAAAAGAGTCCATGATTAAAAAAAAATGGACTACATTATTGTCTGACATTTTACTACCGTTGCATTTACAATTTTCTAAGAAGCTTCAACCCTCATTTCCATTTTATTTGAAACTGAACAGACCAGTGCAGGTCTAATTCAATTGGAAGCTCCAGGGCACATTTTAATTTCTGGTAAACAGGCTGCTAACTCCCTCTGCAGTGAAAAGTTCTGCCCTCTCTAAAGTTCATTCTGAAGACAAATCACCCAGTGAATGCTGCTTATGTTTCCACATAAACTCCTGCTCTTCTGAAAACAGGACCTGTTCACAGCCCAAAGTCAGAACTGTGGAAGTCAGTGGAGCAACTGGACAGCCCACGACTAGCCACAGGGGGATGGCTGTAAAAAGGTATGGCTGTCACACTGGAAAGTCCAGCTATCCGGGAATGTGCAGGCTTACTGCTCCCTCTCCTACATTCTTTGATTCATGCTCCTCTTCCTCGTGGGCCTGCTTTTCTTGCAGTGTGGGGGTCTGAGATAAAGTGGGCCCACACTTCAGCTGCAGAGGCTGGAGGACAGGCACTATCTCAGAGACACCTGCTGACCATGTACACTCTCAGAATAGCAGAACACTTCCACCCTGAAGAGTTTTTTGAAAAATGTTGTAGCCCAAATCATTGAATTAATTTTCTCTTTCACAATTAAAAGATTTTTTGGCATCATTTAAAAATAAGCAGGTTCTCTCTGCTGTTGTCTTTATCCAGGATCTCACAGAAGAAATCCAAAGATAATAGCATTAACTTTTCCATGGCAGATATGTACTGCTTGTGTGGCAAACAGCATATTTTAAATGAGTGAAACCTCCATTTACAATGAGGATGATCCTAGAATCGTTTTCACCTGCTTATGTTTCCTGGCAGAAAATGACTCTCCAGTTGTCTGACTCAGCATGGTGGCCTGGGGGGTCCCTGCCCGTCCTGAAAGCGACCTGAACACTCAGGTGTCCTCAGAGAGGAGGAGTTAAGGGAGGTCAGAGCTCTGCTGAGATGGGAACCCAGAGGAACACTGACTCAGGAGTGTGCTCCGACCTCTGGTTTCTCCTTTCTCTCCCTGCTCTGCTGCCCTGCAGCTCCCCTGTACCTGGTGCAGCCCTCAACCCTCTCCCTGCAGAAACAAGACATGTGTCCCACCCAAGGGGGCAGAGCAGGGGCTCTGATGGCCTTAGAGCCACACAGCCAGGTGGGGCTCAGCTTGAAGGGAGGGGCACCCCAGCCTCTGCACCCGCAATGAGGACAGGGCCTTGGGTGTTGGTTACCTCTGTATGGGAAGTCTCACTCTGGATAAGGTTTTGCTACAGGCAACAAACAAACCAACAAACACCAAAACTGAAACGATGGCTTTACAAAAATATCCCAAGTAAGTAAAGGGGACTATTGTCAGGACAACCTGCAACTGTAGTACTCATCTCACTGCTCAAGGGAGATAATGAACAACAAATAACCATAAACAGCAAACCAGAAGGCAGCAGGGCAACGTCCAACAGCAAGAGGTCTTTAAAAAGGCAAAACAAGCCATTAAGAATCAGAAATTCTAGTATTTCCTTTGCTGTGTGTGAAGCCGCGAAGGATAAGTCTGGGGAAAAGAAATTTCCTGGAGGCAGAGGGCCGGCCGGGAGCAGAGTCCCCTCATGGGACAGGGGTGTCCCGGCCTTCAGCCCCAGCTGCGGCCAGCTGCCCGGCCCGCCGCTCTGCACAGGCCCTCACCAGTCCTCTCCCCTCAGGACTCCTGCACTGTCTTCTGCACGCGTCCTCAGAGGAGCTCACAGCTCTGCCCCTCCTCCGCGACGTTACCTCCAGGTGCGCAGCTCACTCCGCGAAGCCTGCTGCTTTCCTCCGCTCAAAGTGCCTTTTTCAGCTTCTGTGTTGTTCACTGTCGCTCTGTGACAGCCCTTGTCCACCCTAAGGCACTTGTCTGCTATCACCTAAAGCACAGTTTTTCCTAATACTTTTTATTATTACCTGCACTGAGCGATCTTTATGATACATCATAGAGAAACACACACAGGACTGAAAGTGACAACTATCTATGCTATTTTTATTCTGTTTTCCTGGTCAAAATTTTCTGGTCTTTTTTTCCATGAACCAGAAAGTTGTTCTGATCTAAGTATGAAAAACTCTTCTTCATAGTAATTGTCTTCCTATTGTTTAGCAATCATTGGTCAAAAGAGAACAAAGGATAGTATTAGACTTCTTTTTTTTTTTTTTTTTTTTTTCTTTTGCACCTAAGTAAAATTTTCTTTAAGTTAAGTGATAATGTGGGAAAGCATGATTTTTGGGATATGGGCATGTTGAAAAGACTCAGGTAATGGCAAGATTTCCTCACGTCATTGCATGGATTTTACATTTCCACACACCATGTAAGAGTCTCATACTTCATAGCTTTCCCCAGACCTACTAAGGATACAAATTCCTTTTCATATGTTTATTTTTTCAAGTATAATTGCCAATTTTTTATCTTGTAGTTTTACCCTTTGATGCCTTCGTGTGAATGAATTTAATGTAATAAAGTCTATCTGTTCCTTACTATTTGACTTTTTTTTTGTGAGGTGCTGGGGATTGAATCCAGGACCTCATGCATATTTGGCAAGCATCTTATCACTGAGTTATAGCCCTATGTTTGAACTATTTAAAAAAAAATTTTAGGAATCATTCCATATGCTGAGCCAATGAAGATATTCTTGCATATAACCTTATAAAATCTTTAAAGATCTGTGATGCATATTTTTTTACTCGCAAAGGAATCTTGGCTCTTGGACCACCTGTCGTATTTGGAACGCACTCAGCAAATATACAATAACTTAAGTACAAAAAGTATTAACATTGGGAAGGAATCAGGCCAGCTTCAAGTACCGAATTCCACAGATACGGCTAGATTTCACAAAATGTATATGTATAAATTTGCACCTCCTCTTACTCTTACATATGTGTTACGGAAGAAGAAAGATCCCATCAGCTTGCTTACGATCCCAAAAGAACAGAGAAAAGAGAAAAGAGAGAGCGGCAAGCGCTTCCCGAGGCCACCGTACCTGGATTTCTCCCGTAATCGGGTGCGAGGCAGCCTTTGTTGCATCACCCGGCTGTAAGACGAAAGAGCATGCATTACGTTAACAGGTAAGCTATTCATAGAACTTAATCATTTCAGTTTTTCTCTGAAATTAATTTCCACTTGGTCAGAGCAGTGTCCGAAAAATATAATTCAACCATTTGGCTGCTTCAGAATAATAGAGTCTACTTATAATTTTCAATACATGTTTAAATTTATAGATAAATTCGTTTTTCTGTTTGTAAAGCCCAAGTAGAAGCTATTACTTTATATCAGGACTGTTTTTGGTTACTTATGGGAATGAACATTTTTGGTTTAAAGTACTTCATTTAGATTCTTGAAGGTCTTGAAGCTCTACAGAGTAAGGAGCTTCATTTGAGAGCCTTCCTGGAGCAGAGTTGGGACGAAGTCCTCGCTCTCCGCCACGGGCCCGCGCCCTGCCCCCTTCAGAGTGGGCCCTGAGCGTGGACAGCCCCTGGCTCCTACTTTTCCAGTCTTTGGAGTACGAGCTGTCCAGAGGCGGCCTGGCAAGCAGACACAAGCTGCTGAAGAAATGGCCGCCTGCTGGTAACCTGTTACGCTCCCCTGAGAACATTACACAGCGGGACAGACGGAGCACGCCTGGGGCCGTTCTGCAACCCAGTTTTAGACACTATGGCATCAGGGTAGGGGGCACCAGGACCAAAGTGGCCACCTCGCCACCCAACATGTAAAACCCTGTCCACGTCTATGCGTGCAGCATGGCCTTTGTAGTAATTAAATGGAAACAGAAATATTTATTTGATATAAATATTTATTTTGATATACTTGTTCATTACCTTTTCCCTTCTATTTTATTTCAGAAGTGAGAGCAGGCAAATGAGAGTTTTCATCCAAGTCACATTTCATTAACAATTCAATAATAAAGCTAATGTAATCATTGATAAAATTACAGGAGCAGAGGTTAAGGTTTCTAAGGCATTATCCTTTATTAGGTCAGCGCAGGTATTAAGATGTATCATTTATCAATACCCAAACTGTGCTCTGGCTTCAAAGGGTGACCTATTACTTATCGAAGGATGACATTGATTACCTTACAGTTTAAATTCAAAAAAGGAAATTGACTCTACAGGAAGAAAAGGATACATAACTATTCTCGGAACAGCTTATATCTTGATTCAAGACTTGGAGTTTCCTCATTTCAGACCCATGTGCACCTTTTTGTTGTTTTTCTTTTTTTATGTATTTTGTACAGGGTCTCACTATGCAGCTTGGACTCACACTGATCCTCCTGTTTTCAAGCCTCCTAGAGATGGGATTATAGGCCTGAGCTGCCCAGACTTGGTCACAGGCTCAGTGCACCACAGAGGTGGGGCCCCCGTGGCATGCGGGACCAGGGCTCGAACCCTCATTCCTATGCTTGCCAAAGCAGGTGCTTAGTCCGCTGAGCTATCTCTCTGGCCCCATATGCATGGTTTTTAAATTATTACTATTTTTTAATCTTATTACTTGGTACATAATTCTATGGATGTGTGGAGGTATTTAGGCAGGCACAGAAAGGCACACATGCAACTCCTCCTGCCCTGGGAAAGGTGATGAAGCTCCTATCAGGGAGGAGAGCAAAACAGTGTGTGTCGGGAGAGGCTGCAGGGAGGCGGCAGGGAGGTGCAGGGTAACAGAGCCAAGGCACAGTCCGCGCCGAGAGGCCGGCGGTAGTGTTCTGCAGTATGGCGGAGAGAAGAGAAGTCTGTGGTAAATATTACACATTTCAAAAAAAAAAACTACGAGAGAAGTTTGAAGATTTCCAACAAAAGGAATCTTCACATCTTAATACATGATGGCCAAGGAATGACTAAGATGAGAATTCAGAAAGCAAGAGGAGTTACTAGAGATAGTTTCATTTTGATTTTTGAGAAATGCGCACTTTTGACATGAGGCCGTGTAAACATACTGATACTTACTGAAGAGAACAATGGCCTTCTGGATGGCTTTCAGTTGTCCTGCTCCGTAACGCACGTATGCTATGGGTGCACTAAAGTATGAGCGGTGAGAGAAGGGCGCAAGGCAGGCGCTCTGACTGCCCGTCTGTGCAGATTAAAAACTTGCTGAGACTATGTAGGTTCCTATTTTACCTACACTTACTTCAGAACACTTGCTATAGTATTACTAATTGATTAATTAGTGTTACTTATAAGTAATTAATTTAGTATAAGAAAGAAGCTTCAAGAGATGAATGGGGGAAGCTATTTTCTATTTGCCAGTGTAGCAATGTCACTTTTAGCAAAAATACTCTAAAAGTACACAGCACTACATTCTTGGCATAGAAATAAACTACTGCACATTATCAACCTGTTACTATCATTTCTTTTAAAAAATCACGCATTTATTTATTTGGTATGGGGTCTAGCTACAGAGCTTGGACTCATAGTGATTCTCCTGTCTCAGCCTCTCCAGCACTGGGATTACAGGCATGCACTACCATGCCGGACTCAGTGGTCAGCACTACCTGCCCAGGGCCAGCTCAGCCCGTGGCACCAGGGATCAAACCTGGGTTCTTGTGCTGGTCAGGCAGGCGCTTAGACCCCTGAGCTATCTCCCTAGCCCTCATTTCTTTAATGTTGTCCAAAAAGTAAGCAAATTGCATCTTACATTCAATCTATTTTATACGCCTAGAATACTGTGGTGACTCACTAGTACCTCGTTGTATTTTAATGCACAAATATTTATTCCATTTTGCTACTCCTCTGTTCAAGCTTTTCAAGGATATGCTCAGGAGAGTATGGAAGAAAATGACAGATGAATCCCACACTAATGCTGATGCTGGGGACTGGGCGCCCTGGCCCTCCTGGTGTGGAGGGATGGGATTTTTCTGTCTTTGTGTCTTGGCGGTGGCTCATGATCTGAGATGGAAATGGCATAAGAAGGAGCCTATGGAAAATAAGAGGGAGCTGGAAACCCCAGTGAACTGAGGCCTCCGACAAGGCTCTGGTGAGGGCTGACCTCGCAGGTGGCATGGTGATGGCCTCCCAAGGAGCCAGGCAGGGCCTGGGGTAGAGGAACAGAGGCCAGGAAGGCAGGGCCGAGACACCTGGCCAGGGAGCGCAGGGGTGCCTTCCACACAGGAGGGTCACACGGCGACACAACCTATGAACTGCCTCATTGTCATCTGCTTTTCTAAGATTACAAATTAATCCCCTGTTCCTTCTTGATTCTCCAGCATCCTTAGCATTACAGTACTGGAAACTCTTGTTTCAAATGAAGATGTGTATGAAAAAAAGAAATCATTATGCAACCGGGAACAAAGATTCAAAATGATAATAATGTGTTACTGGGTTTCCTTGTTTTTTATCATCCTAAATTCTATATGTATTTTTGTTCTTACATAAACTATAACATCTGATATAATATGTATCTCATCAAAAAGATACAAAACTAATGTCTGAGACAAAAACGTCATTCATGCCACAACCAAGAAAGTACCCCAAAATAGGAAACATCAGACACATTTTTCAAGTTCCTCATAATAACAACTACTGACATATTTTAAAGGGTATTCTAAAACATCACCCTGATACAGCTTGATCAGTTAAACAGTCCCAAGAGGAAAAGTGGAGGTTTTTTGTTTGTTTCTTGTTCTCACTACATCGTTAGGAAACGAGAAACCACAGTCAAATCCTGGAGAAAGTGCTCCTTTTTTCCCTCTCTCCTGCTCAGAGCACAAAGCCAGAAAGCAGAGCACTCAAAGGAGTGCTTGTCTTACCTTGCTGCTGCTGCTGCTGCTGCTACTGCTGTGTTTCTTTTTGCTCACAGATGGAGACCCTGGCTGCCCAGGGCTGGGAACAGAACTGGATCCTGCGGATGTGGGGCCCGAGTGACCATGCGACCCCTTCTCCATGACGGATGCCAGCACCAGCGGGGACTGCTGCAGCGAGACCTTCTGCAGCTCAGCGGCCAGCTGCTTGGGGTCCACCCCCGGGGACTTGGCTTTATCCACTGCAACAACAGGATAGGCAGACATGCCGCGTGGGCCTGGGTCTGACACCAGGGAACTCCCTGGAGCTCTAGGTGACAGAGGCAAATGCTTACTGATAAAGGGAGCTAAGCTCTCAGATCAACTTTATGGATTGCAGGGGAGTTGAGGCCAGAGAAGAGTAGCCAAGGAAGGCCAGGGGCTGTCTGCAGTTCCTACTGTGTCCTCAGAAAAATGCTTTTAATCTTTAACAGAGAACTGTGGGAGTTCTGCAATGCCCTACCCACCCTCTGGAACACACGTGTATGGTCAGCTGCTTGCCCCTTGCATCTCCAAAGTCTCCAGTCCACTTGCAATTTCTGGGGATTAAAACCCCTATAGGACTTGGCCTATTCTGTTTAGACCTGACTCTAGAACTGTTGTGCAAGCATAGGAAGTGTTCAATAAAAGTTAAATAAAGGAAAAAGCATTTAAAATCATATAATTGATCTAATAAATGTCTATACTGTATTTGTTGGCTAAGAAAGATTTATGTCTTTTCATCAGAAACTTATGAATTTACGTGTTGATTTTTATTTCTTATGAATAGGCAATCAAAAGGTACAGGAATAAAACTTCAATCTGAGTTCTAGGCTGGGATGTAGCTCAGAGAAGGAGCACTCACCTGGTGCACAGGCCCTGGGTCAGTCCTCAGCCTTTACACCCAACCCCCCAAAAAGAAAACTACTTTTATGTTGAAAGGAGATGATATATTAACTCAACATATGCAAGGTCAAAAAGAGGTGGCTCCATGGATCACTTTCAATCATTGTTAAATTCCTATCATTTTGTTTAGTGAAATTCTGTATCATTTCTATTTTTTTACTATGTCATGTATTCTCTTTCAAAAAAAATTAAAAGGAATTAGAAGCGTAAACTCACACAACAAGGACTTACTATGAGCTTCTCATTGAGTCTAACACAAATGTTTCCTCGGAATGCTCCAAGAAATATGGCTGCAACACCTTTCCTTTTGTGCACACTTACGTAAACACCTGTAATCTATTCCCAATCTCCGACTGTGTTTATGTCCGCATCTCCCCGACAGCTGCAGCAGCCTCAGCTGCACCTGGATCTGGACTTCCATCCATGCTGGGAGAGGACTGCATGCACCTACCGGCTCTGGGTGGCTCATGGAGTTCCAGGTGCTGGGAATTTTCCGAATCTGAGAGCATATTGAGATCCCTGAGAATGAAGACAGAACACGATGAAGTTGAGGATGCCTGAGAGAAATCACTTTCCTCCAACTGCCCTGATCATTTTCAGTAGATAAATGAGAAGTGGTTATGATAAAAGCAACTCCAAAGCATGCTCACCCTTGTTTCCCGGTAGATATCCGCAATGTCGTTAAAAGTCAGAGCTGATAAAAATGGCATTTAAGGTGAAATCTTTATGGATTAAATGTAAGTTCATTTTGAGATGTTCTACACATCCATGGAATCTAAATGGGTTCAGGCTTTCATTTAAATGAAGCATGTTTCAATAAGTGCATGAAAGAGAGAGCGCTATTGACTTATTCCAAACTAAGTCAGCTGAGTTCTGTCTACGCGTTGGTCTTTGGTTCTGAACACAAGAAATCTATAAACCTTGTATTCGCTTCATTCTCTAATTACTGAAGAACTTGCTGCCTGGCAAAGGTTCCACCTTAACAATTTTAAATTAAAAGAGTCATGAATAGCCAAAAAATGGAAACAGAAAGATGGGGAAAAACTCACAGTCTTACACATATTTCTGCCTCCCCACTCTGCTGACTAAGGATGCTCTGTACTTCTTCATAGGTTTTAGACATCAAGGAAATTCCATTCCACTCCAGGACTTGCATCCCTGTAAGGACAAATTGGGAATAAAATCCACTGTGTGCTCTGCTCTAGGCTCATAGGAAGGGGGAGCTATCTCTTTGCACGGGAAAGCCAGCTCAGCACACCATGGCAGAGGAGACCCGTTTGAAGTTCTCTGACCATCACAGAGCTGGACATCACCACTCACCTGAATACACGGAATGCATTTAATACAACATGCAAACCGTAGCTCCGGAAGATGCGCTATTGTCAGATGCAGGCATTCTGTTCACACATCTATAAGGATCACAGTACTGAATATGTACTGCTTAGAAAACACCAATCATTCCACTACCAGTACATTTCCCCTTAGTGAGCAAGCTCTTGGAAGAGCGCAAACTTGCACATTTTATCATGGATTTGGAGTCTCAGGACAGCACCACCAAGATTTCCTGGGGAAGCTCCCCTCTAGAGGCGGGTCCTGAAGTCCATCCACATTAAACAGAATGCATTTCGAGCTTTCCCATCACTGCACACCAGATGCTCCTGAGCAGAACAGCAGGAAGCTACAGGCAGCGCAGCCGCTTGGGCTGCACCTGGTGCAGAGCACAGGCTCCGTGTGCAGAGAGGCTCGGTGCTCAGCACAACGGTCGGTGGTTGCTACCTTGCTATTTTTAATAATGTCTGAACAAAGCACTCACACTTCACTTTGTACTGAGTCCTGTAAATTCCTGGGTAGGGCATTCTATTTTATCTGTCTAGAGAGATAGATTTATACCAAAAGAAAATAACACAATATTTAAATAGTTTACATTTTGTCCATGTTAGGAGGTTCAAAATAACTCAGGGATGTTTGGTATGATGACTTATATGGCCCTAAGAGGTGGATATGTAAACCAACAAGAGTAGATGATATCATCCAACTCAAGGCCAAAATATTTGTGAATAAGAGTTACTTGTATTGGAGAGAAATATCTGTATGTTGTAAATATAGTATAATTCCCGAAAAAGTAACTACTGAATTTTTTTTTTTTTTTTTTTTTTGTGGAACCAGGATTGAACTCAGGTCCTTGTGCTTGCCAGGGAAGCGCTTATTCCACTGAGCCATGTCCCCAGCCCCCAAAATTGGGTTTTTAATGAGTTTGCCCTGTGTGAAGTGCCCTCCTGCCCACTGCTGCCTTCACAGGAAAATTCGAAATGAGGCGAGAGGAGTCGTCAAGGGAGCCTCTCGGGAAGCACACTGCCTGCTGCAGTCCAGGAGGGAGATGTGTCACGCCACAGGAAGCGCCAGAGGAAGCCCTGAAAGGGCCCGGAGGGGCACAAACAGCCACGGCTCTCTATACCTTGCTCCGTGACAACTTTCTCTCCAGGTGGCCTTAGGGCTTATTTCAACAATCTCAGGCTGTTGTACACATAAAATGAGAAAATCATGTAATGGACAGTGACAACACCTCTAAAGAAAATCACGGCACACTGAAAGAGGAAAGTAAAGCACTCTTTTAAGGTCAGGGAAAAAGTATATTGATAAACAGATGACTTTGAACTTAAGAAAATTAATTCAGAAATTGCATTGCCATATTTGTGCAGGAGCATATTCTTTGCCAAGAAACAGTCTTAAATTTTAATTTTTTTCTCTGAATCTAGCTGTTCAAGATTTCAAATCCCAAAATAAATGGCAAGTTGAAAAAAAATACTTATCCAGTGAGATAAAATATGTAACTAGTTATAAAATAGAATCTATTTAGTATTACTTCAAAAACTGCCGAATAATTATTGTTAGCCGGAACCCTATCTGATACATGTCTGGCACCATGAACCACGTGACCCGCGCCGGCCCACACCCAGCTGCCAGCCTCTTGGAGGGCTCGCCCCCGCGCTGCTGCGAGCAGTGCTGCGCTCAGCAGAGTCTTCCAGCTCCTTTATCCTGGCTCAGGCACGATGCGATCCTTCAGGGAGGGAATCATTCACAGAATCTTCCTGTCCTCACTAGCCTCCTACAAATCCTCTAAGAGCCATACTAAATCATGAATGGAACACAGGGATCCCCCTGTGTTCATTCTGCAAAGTGATTTTACAGATTATAAGAATTAAATACCCCGTGACTTCAAAAATAATATATTTGACACAAGACAGCAGAATGAAGGAAAAACATTTGATGATGTTCAGTATCACTTCTTGATAAAAATGAAGAAACCACTAATACAGCAGCAATTTCCCTCAATATAACAAAAGCCATTGTACCAAATGGGAAAACCTGAACATTTCCTAACATCTGGAAAAAGACAGACCCATCCCCTTCCCCACCCTCACTAAACGTGGTACAGGAAGTCCTGGCCAGAACCGCCTAGGGAGAGGAACAAAGGCACATGCTCAGTGTTCACAGATTACATTATTTTATAATAGGAAGCCCCTGATGATGCCATAAAAGCTTCAGGGCAAATAAATCCATCACAGGTTCAGGACACAAAGCCAATCAAAAACAGCAGCACTACTCTATGCCCACAGTGAATTAGAACTCATTGGTCTTCTAAATACATACTGTTTGTCATAACATACCAATTGCTGCCATACTGTCTCTCAAGTAAATGTTTGTTAAAATGGGGGGGTAATAAATGAAAATAACAGACAAGAAAAAAAGTGTCATAGGACTGTCCTGCTACAATGCTGCATATGGTTAGATTTCTAATTTTCTGTGTAAAAATATGTAACTATTTATTTCTATTTTTAAAAATATTTTTAAATTTTTTTTCTTCATATTCTGTAGGAACTTAAAGTTTAACATATCAATACTTGATGGAAAATACCTGTTCCATGTTATGTCTCAGATGTTTGATATTCAGACAGATTAAGCACAACTGCCTCTCTTGTAGGGTAATATTAATAAGCTTCTCCTCTGGATAGTTAACAACCTAAGTTTGCAGACCAAAAATTAGAGAAATAGAAGGGCTGCAAGGACAGCCAACATTATGACCCTAGCCTTTCAAGGTCAGTGAAGACTCAGGACATAGGAGAACCTATACTGTAACATCATGTAACTCAGTTGTGTCTCAAATTTTCTGATTAAGGAGATTATGGGGCCATAGAGCAATGTGATTGATGATGTAGAGTGTGCCTAAGAAGAGTCACATGAAGAGAAAACATTCTCTCAGACTTTTATAAAGAGCAAATTGGTCAAGCAAGGGCCGTGACTCATCCACATGACTGACACTGACTAAGGATCTACACACTGCAGTACAGGGTTTCAGGATAAATCCTGAGGGGATTTGACTGACCTTATCATTAGAAAAGTTGCATTACTTGTTATAAAGGTCTTGCATTGTCTTGGTCTTGACCAGCCAGCAGAGAAGTATGGGAATGGAGTATAGAGGGTAAAGCCATATCAATATGCTGAGCTGTAAAAGGCTCAAGTCAACAATTTTTTTTTCTTTTCTTTTTTTTTGTGGAACCAGGGATTGAACTCAGGCCCTGGCACTTGCCAGGCAAGCATTTATTCCACTGAGCCATCCCCCCGGCCAAGTCAACAACTTCTGACACTGCCAGTCTTACGTAAAACCCACTACTATTATAAACTACTGGACTATATTGGAATATTTTGCTGAATTGAGGCACCTACAATATTTAAATAACAATGGAATATCCTTCTCTGACAAAACTAAACAAAAAGGGGGATACAAATGAATGACCATTTTGTAACTGCATGTTCAAAATAGTTAAGATAGATACACAGCTGCATTTTCTTGGATCAATGAAAAGAGAGATTTGTTCTAATAGTGTTTGTGGACAGGATATCATGTCTGCATCTTGTACAATGAATAACCACTAAGCCAACAATATGCAATGTATTCATTATTGAAACTGTGCTAGTAATCAGTTTTGAAACTGTCTCATTGCTATTTGTTTCTCAACAAAATTATTAAAATTAATAAATAAAATAAAATTTTGGCTCCACAAAAAAATAATAAATAAAATAAAAGAGTGGGATTGGTCCTGGGAGGGAGGCGCCATCGGCCCACAAGCCTCAGAGTGCAATGACCACGTCAGGAGGCATGCAGAACAGCAGCAGGTCCACAGCTGAGGAAGCTCCAAGTCCTGACCAGAGCCATGAGAATGCAGCTCTGCTAGTGCAAGCTGGCAGGAGCCAGTTAAGTTAAACGCAAAGGCATCCAGAGATTCTCCTCTTAGATGTGTGTTTGTGGAGGAGTCAGGAGAAATGGGCACTGGGAGTGTGGAGAAGCCAGCTATGGAAACCCCGGGCAGAAGCTGGAGGATGCAGGCTGCAGCAGGGCTCCCAGCAGAAGGCAGGCCTGTCTCAAAATGCACGCAGGTGAGAAACACGACGTGGCCTCTAGAGAAACGCTGTTCACGTGGATTCTGTGGCATGCGTGGAAGCTACGTGTGGATGCTGACATGCACAGAAAATATATTCCACAAGTAAGTAATAGACATCAGATAGATTATATTGGTTATCCCAGAAAGGAAGAGAAGCGAATGAGAAAAAATAGAAAAAAAAAAAGAATGAGTTAATGAACAGATAAACAAGTGAGTAGAAGTTCACAAGTAGTGAAGACTCTTGACTGAGCCCCTAAGGCTGGCGTGGGATGAAGTGAGGATCTGATGCAGAGGGGCTTTGGTTAGACAGATAGTCAATAAAGAACAAATGGTATCTAGTGGGTAAATTCCATTCCAAAACTTCTCAATCACTTTTAATAAATAGACTTCAATTTTCAATACTATCAGTCAATGTTATGTTGTACACAGCATTGTACAATAATTGATTTGCCATTGAAAAATGAGAATTGTCTAACAAGAAAACAGTTTAAGAGCATATCTGTCAAATGATGCACAACAGGTTCAATTACTTTCCCTTCAGTTCTCCAAAATACATGTAGAGAAATAATTTTCCTAACTCATGAGCAAACATGATTACAACTATAAAAATAATGGTGACACAGTGCTAGATGAGTTATAGAGGACACTCATATGCATTCACGGGATACTAAGAAGCCTTCTGGTTAGCAGGAATGAAATTAGAACCCTTCATTTGTG